GTCACATCACATCATCGAGGTGGAGATATGGATGAGTAGCAGCTGAGAAAAAAAAGAACCTTGGGGGCTTCAAAGACGTTATTTGATCTGACGGAGCATTTGCTAATTTTTACATCTCAGGAACCGGAAATTTGAGATCAACCTTTTGTGCTTGGTTACGGTCCAGAGTGAGTGTGACACCCAGATAAGGGAAGAGGGAATAATAGGGTGAAAACAGGAGGATGGGGCTACAGTTGTGACCCCATTAACAATCAGTGTGACAGTAGCCATGCTTGATGCTAATGCCTAGGAACATAGTGACAGGTCAGTGTGCTCCCGTGGGAGCAGAGCTGTGTGAAATGAGGAACAATGCAGTCAGAGTGAAGGCAAGGCTCCACAGAAACCCAATGCATCGCCGAAGGATGTTCTTCACGTGTGAAAATACAAAGCTGACGAGGAGCCATTTTTTTATCTTGTCATTACGTCTTCAAACGGTCATCAAATTAATATCTAGATTGTCGGTTTAGTCAATACATCAAAGTTAAAGGTTATGGGAAATTAATGAATGTTTAAAACAAATCTCTAATCAGGGGCCATCTCCAAATCCCAGTAAGGGACATTTTTACTGTCCTCCTAATAGTCCAGTAGTCCTATAGAAATTGGCCATGTTTGTTTTCCCGGGCAGCCAAACTCCCAAATAATCAAACGACAGACAGGAAATTGATTTAAAGCTCCAGCTTTACTGTAGACTTGTCGATTGTGATGATACAGCGAAGGAGTAAAGCTGGAATAAACAGAAATATGCATTTAATTATTTATCCAGAAATAGTAGATGTATAGTCATACGTTTGATAAAATGTTATATACAAGTAATACAAAAATCACCAAATGTGCCCGAAATAGCCTATGCTAAATGTAACTAACATGCTACTAATATGTAGAATGACTCACATGACAATCATGACATTTATAGCGTGAATGGGAGAGAAACTCCCTCTGGAGGATACACAGGGATTTTAGCCTTTGCAGACCATTACAATCAGAGTTACTCCAAAACAACCTAACACTCTGATTGTTCACTGTGTTTTCCCCTTTAAAGGGGCAATGTGTACTACCAAGCCACCTGCTTCAAATAGGGGGCAGCATTTCCCCACTGTTACTGACCAATACAATCCGGATGTACAGTTACCAGTTATTTAGAAAAGCTATTTTAAATCCAATAAACAAACTGTCTAAGAGACATGGACCATAGCGGTTTTATATCAGCGATATTTCATATTTTTCTGTTTTCTAATTACATATCCAACAGACAGGCTTGGGGAGTAACAGGCTTAATTGGGATTATGTAATCAGGATTGTTTTTAAGTAACTGTATTCCCTCACAGTTACATAACAAAAGATGCACTAAAATTACAGTTACATTTCTAAAAATAGTTGATAACTATCAGGATTACAGTGTTAGCAAAACCTAAAAAGATCATAGTGTTTGTTGTAAAGGATCAGATGTTCTCTCTGCTCTTAGAGCTGTACTGTTCTGTAGGATAATACTTCAAGTGGGAATACTTCTACTGCCTGAATCTGCTTTATGGTTTTCACTTTCTTTGCTTCATTTCTTCTGTTTTTAATTCAGCAGGTGAACCTATATGTTCATAAAATAGTGTCTGTGAGCTTAACTGTGTGTATTAAACTAAGACGGAGCATTTTCTGTCAGCTCAGGTTTTATTTCTGCTTTTTTAAACTGTAGTATGGCTCAGTCAGTAGGGGCTTGGACAGTAGGGTCGCTGGTTCAAGTCCCCGACCAGACCTAAATATGGAGTGTGGACTGCTACTTGGAGAGGTCCCAGTTCACCTCCTGGGCCCTGCCGTGGTGCCCTTGAGCAAGGCACCGGACAACCCCCTTCCCCCTCACTCACCCATTGCTCCCAGGGCGCTGTACAATAGCTGCCCACTGCTCCTGGTACTAGACTCCTAGTAATAGACTCCTGGTGCTAGACTCCTGGTGCTAGACTCCTGGTACTAGACTCCTGGTACTAGACTCCTGGTGCTAGACTCCTGGTACTAGACTCCTGGTGCTAGACTCCTGGTACTAGACTCCTGGTACTAGACTCCTGGTGCTAGACTCCTGGTACTAGACTCCTAGTAATAGACTCCTGGTGCTAGACTCCTGGTGCTAGACTCCTGGTGCTAGACTCCTGGTACTAGACTCCTGGTACTAGACTCCTGGTGCTAGACTCCTGGTACTAGACTCCTGGTGCTAGACTCCTGGTGCTAGACTCCTGGTGCTAGACTCCTGGTACTAGACTCCTGGTACTAGACTCCTGGTGCTAGACTCCTGGTACTAGACTCCTGGTACTAGACTCCTGGTACTAGACTCCTGGTGCTAGACTCCTGGTACTAGACTCCTAGTAATAGACTCCTGGTGCTAGACTCCTGGTGCTAGACTCCTGGTGCTAGACTCCTGGTACTAGACTCCTGGTACTAGACTCCTGGTGCTAGACTCCTGGTACTAGACTCCTGGTGCTAGACTCCTGGTGCTAGACTCCTGGTGCTAGACTCCTGGTACTAGACTCCTGGTGCTAGACTCCTGGTGCTAGACTCCTGGTACTAGACTCCTGGTACTAGACTCCTGGTACTAGACTCCTGGTGCTAGACTCCTGGTACTAGACTCCTAGTAATAGACTCCTGGTACTAGACTCCTGGTACTAGACTCCTGGTGCTAGACTCCTAGTACTAGACTCCTGGTGCTAGACTCCTGGTGCTAGACTCCTAGTGCTAGACTCCTGGTGCTAGACTCCTGGTGCTAGACTCCTGGTGCTAGACTCCTGGTGCTAGACTCCTAGTACTAGACTCCTGGTGCTAGACTCCTGGTGCTAGACTCCTGGTGCTAGACTCCTAGTACTAGACTCCTGGTGCTAGACTCCTGGTGCTAGACTCCTGGTGCTAGACTCCTAGTACTAGACTCCTGGTGCTAGACTCCTAGTGCTAGACTCCTGGTGCTAGACTCCTAGTACTAGACTCCTGGTGCTAGACTCCTGGTGCTAGACTCCTAGTACTAGACTCCTGGTGCTAGACTCCTGGTGCTAGACTCCTGGTGCTAGACTCCTAGTACTAGACTCCTGGTGCTAGACTCCTGGTGCTAGACTCCTGGTGCTAGACTCCTAGTACTAGACTCCTGGTGCTAGACTCCTGGTGCTAGACTCCTGGTGCTAGACTCCTGGTGCTAGACTCCTAGTACTAGACTCCTGGTGCTAGACTCCTGGTGCTAGGATGGGTTAGAAGCAGAGAACACATGTCACTGTGTGTGCTCTGCATGTGTGACCATTAAAGAGGGGTTCATCCCTCCCAATTCTATCTATCTTCATGTGTCTCAGTGTTGGTGTATAGGCTACTGCCTGAATATGCTGAGTGAAAGGCAGCTTTTATCTATATATAAAATACATTTTCATCCTAAATATCTTGGTTTGTTCTTTTCTAAGTAACATTACATAATTCACTTAAGTAAAAAACATCTTATTGATATTTATTTTCTCTTTTATTTATTTTCATTGCATTAATATGGAGGTAATCCAAAAAGAACAGAAAGGTATCAGGTTACATTACCTTTATATTTATATTTTTCTTACAGCTAACTTCTCATTTGAACGGAATACATTTTGAAGTAACCATCCCAACAGATACAGAATAAGATCAGCATCATTTAGTCACTTTGTGTATTGGATGATTACATTGATAAGATGTGTGTTCTCTAAGCTGACACTGAGCAGGAACAGTCCTTGGGGTGAAGGCAAACGTCATCATTAGAAAAGCTATATTACATTCTACACTGATCGTGGATACTTTAACAACAACAAACATAAACCACAAAAGATATAATGCACATTACTTCAAAAATACCAGCATTTCCAAGATGACACAAAGAACACAGTGTAGCTGTGACTGGAGGACTATTTTACAAAGCTGTGTCGTATCCTAAACACAGAAATAAACAACGTGTTTTCCTACTTTACCATACTTTATGATATATGCAAGGGCTTATATCTTATAACTGTGTGCACTGCAGTTTCAGAGGATAAAGTCATCAGATCCTGTCCTTTATTCAAAATACTCCATTACAAGGGAAATCCTGAATTCAACATTTTACTTAAGTTAAAGTTAAAAATACAAGTACAGGAGTATTGTCAGCCGAATGAGCTGTACAAGCTTTTTCATCTTCTAGTTTGTCAATATTGAGCCAATTTGTTTGATTTTGTATATTAAAAGATAGATAAGTAATATAGTACTGCATTGTATCATGAAAGCATGTTTCTCTATGTAAAATATAACTGGTAACTATAATAATAATTAAATGTAGTGGACACAAGTACAACCTTTACTCTGAAATGTAGTGGAGTAGAGGTAAAAAGTCAAATAAAAGGAAATTATCATTTCAAAATAATACTTCAGTACAGTACTCAAGTAAATGTACTTTGTCACATTACACCACTGTGCGGTTCACAACCTGATTTATTATTTACATTTTGCACGTAGTACACTCTATGGCATTTTGAACCTTTTATGTTATTAACTGACACATTATTATGTGTTGGATTGCAAATTATGCACATTAATATCTCGATGGTCTCTAATGCCCTGGGCTCACTCAATCACATGGTAATCATGGTTACCATGGTTAAAGGTCTGTCATCATTCATTCTTACCAGTATAGAGAATGCTCTACCACCAAGGCAAGCTAATGGTCAAATAATGTTAGGTTCTGAAGAGTTCCTTATGTATTGCCATGTTAGGCCATTATTAGGTAGTGACAGTAAAGAGATACAGGAAGTGAAGAGAGAGAGACAAATGTGGAACAAAGGTCCTCGGCCCAACACAAACTGAGCGGTTCCCCCTGCTGTTAAAGGTTGGAGGGAACATGAGGACCAGGTTATAGTTTTTATTTGAACAACTCTACCTTATCATAAAACCGAAAAAGCCAGCTGTCCAACACCTTAATTGGGACAAAAATGGAGGACATTATTCTTCTGATGTCTTTATTGATATGACGGACCTTTCGGTCTACATGCACATTTAATCTGTTCTGAGGCTTCTTGCTAAGAAAATGATAATATCATAACATTACAGAACGAAAAACAGGAGAAAGAAGTCACCATTTTAAAGATTTTTTGATAAAATTGTTGAGGTCAGGTTAATATGAATCCAAATGGACTCCTTACAGTACTGAACTGTTCCACCCAGAAAATGCTTGAAATAGCAACATTATACTTTATGCTTCTCATATTCCCTGATCAGATTTAGCATGAATTTATTATATTTCTTATTATACATTTTGAAAATACCTCTACTTATTGCAGCTGCCACAGGAGCAGCGTTCATGTTATTGCTAAGATGGTTTATGTTCAGCCATGCCTCTCCATTTATAACTTTTGTGAAAATTCACAGGCCTCCTTCAGGGCCCCTGTTGGGCTGTTGCCTCAGTCTTGGGTGAAGGAAGGTCCCTCAGCAGAGGGGGGGGGGAAGTCACGGAGCTCTGCAGGGCAGCCTCCAGCAGCAGCCACCTGCTCCTCCGCCCGCAGACACAGCTCCTGCAGGAAGTTGGCTGTCTCCATCACCAGGTCGCTCTCATCATCTAAAGCAGAAACACACCGAGTGATAAGGGCCCGAGCAGCGAGTCAGAGCAGAGGACCTTTTGAAATCCCTCAAGATTGATTCTCTTTGTAGCAAAAATGAATCACATTTTTGAGGGCCTAAAAGTTTACCCAACATGTAACAGGATAATCAGGACTGGTGAAAATGTTAATAATTTAGGGGACTCGTTCTCGGAGTGTCGGTAAAAAGCTCTGTAAAAAGCTCTATACGCTCCCTACAAAGTTGCCAAAAGGCAGCCCCCCCGCTCAGGTTCACTTAGACATTTGGTAGGTATATGTAGCTTGGTGAGACGCACAAAAAAGCTTCTTGGAGGCTTTTTTTTTCACCAACTTCTCCAACGGTTTTCATCCAAACAGCTTCAAATTAAGTCAGTAAGTCTTAAGACCACGAGGTTAAAACGTTATTAAAAGCTTTACATTAAACAGCCTCGCCACGACGTGGCGTGGAAAAAGCACCATTGGCTGTAAAAAAGGAAGTTGCTGTAACTCAAGCATTTATTCTCAAATATGCTTCAGATTTCTTATGGATGATCAGAGACCAGTAGTGATGGGAATTCCGGCTCTTCTTGGTGAGCCGGATCATTTGGCTCGGCTCACCAAGAAGAGCCAGCTCTTTCGGCTCCCAAACGGCTCTTCAGTTTACCACATATTATACCTTTTATAATTCAATCAAATGTAGCCCTGTTTTGACTAATGATTTATATGTGTACACATATCACTTAAATTATTCAATACATCCTTTGTACTGAAGTATTCAAAAGTAAAAATTACATGTTTAATATCAATTATTTGCTGTGGCCAATTGTTTTCATTGCATTTACAGACCCTTGTATCTCTCTGATACCACCCAATGAATGCACAGACTTGCATGTAGAACCACGCTACACAAAGCAGATAGCAACACCTATAAAAACTTAAGCATAGACATTTAAAAAAAGGGGCTACTGTATCGACATTTTAAAATTATATTTAAAGAAAAGGCCCTGACAAAACAGCAGGGCTCTATTTCAGTATTAACTATAGAAAAAAAGACAGCAACAGCTGACATCAAATCTTTGCTGAGCCCAAGGATAATCATAAATAACATAGTGAAAATAAATATATTGCAATGCTCAGTACAGCAGCATCCAACCGTCTCTAATCATAAAAAAACATAATACAAATAAATGTATTGCAATGCTCAAAACAGCAGCATCCAACAGTCTCTAATCCTTGGATATTACATGTCACTGCATGCATGCACGGAGCAGCTGTAGCGCGGAGATCATCATATCATTCTGTCTTGTATTACTTAACAAAAAATAACAAAAACAAAAAACCGGCTCGTTCGCGGGCGCGAGCCGGCTCCCGTCGTTCACTTAAAAGAGCCGGCTCTTTGAGCCGGCTCGTTCGCGACCGACACATCACTAGAGACCAGGCCTGAAGATATTTTCATGCCAATATACACTCATTGACATAGCGCCACATAGCGTTTGACCCTTTAACGTCCTCCTCCAGGCAGATTATGCAGGCGACCCAAAGACTTTTACAGGTCAACATTGGGTCATATGTATAGCACCACCTAGTGGCACGGGAATGTTTAGTCAGGTTTATGTGACAAACATCAGTCAATTGACATGGAAATGACATGCAGCCTTCTAATGGAATTAGCACATATTCCTTAGCGCCACATAGTGGACACCAGAGGTGCTGCAAGATTCACAATGTCATTTCTAGAGCATCACACTCCATTCAGTAAGTTATGTTCATTACGTCTGCAACGCTCACGCCAATTCACTGCTGCAGTCACAGGAGTCTGGTACTAACCCTGATGGTATGGATGTGTGAGGGCCTGTGCATCACTGCCTGTACCTTTAATTATGACTGTGGTATATTTACCACAAGAGGGCACACTAGACTGTCAATAACACAGCAGCCTGATGTGCAGCACTAGTTTAAGACTTCAGTGTGTTGCTGCTATAAATTACATTTATAAAACAGGATATTGGGTTTAACCATAAATTATAGTAAATCTAAAGTGGATCAAAACTTCAATCCATCTCCAACAATATACCTTTTTCCCTCAATTTTTTCATTTTTTTACTTGATTTGATTTGACTTGTTTATATATATATATCTGAAAATGTGTCGTGCATTCCAACTAAATAGCTAAAATTCAAAACACAACATTTTAAGCAAAAATGTATCTATACTACAAACATATATCACACCAGGGCCCACATTAAGGGTCATTATTGAATGACCAAAAGCGCATGGTTCAAAGCACATAATGCAAGTAATTCAAGGCTTGTCCAACTCCACTTTTGCTAGCTGAACAGCGCATCATCTGCTCACAAAATAAGGCACAAGGAGCTAACTTTCAAACATGTTGCATGTTTGGGATTTCTGAGTTATTTTCACCTTTTGCTGTCACTCAGACCCTTTGATTAGGCCCCGCCCTCAACCTGTTGATTCAATCTGCCCTAGTTGGCTCTAAATGTTGAACTGCAGATGAGATTTAGTGAGTGCTGTGAATTCTCTCTCTGCTACACAGCCTCGAGCTCATCATAATCATCGTTCTAGAAGATTATTCTCTTCATATGGAATCAGAGTGATTTTTTCTTAAAAGAAGATTCTTCTACACACCTTTCAGTTCTTTGAGCTTTGGAGAATCCTTCTCCAGGTCAGCATCCTGCTCCTGTAGACACCTGCACATCTTTTTATGGGCGAACCAGTGGAGCTTTTGGCACGATAAGCTACAGTAAGTCACCTTAAAGACAAATGAAATCAAACGTGACCCGGGGGTAGTTCCTTCCTGAGAGTTGACACCATGGGGGCATTAACTCACTGCTTTACAAAGGGAGCATCTCTTGTCTGCTCCCTTCTCCCCACACGTAGCACAGTAGTTAGCATCTACAAACGCCATCTGACCCGTGATGGCCTGGTTCAACACCGAGAACGCTGTGGGGTCGTTTCCCTGGAAATAAGATGATGGGGTTATTAGTTAGGTCAAGTTATTAGACAAACCAATACAAAAGAAAAATGATTACTTAGTAACCTTTTATCATCAACTTCTATAGAGTGATGCAGTGATGTCGAATTTGTAGTCCGACCTTGAAGTTAGCATTGTAAGGGCTGCCCCGACTAAAAGGAATTTGGAATATTGGAGTAAATAAGATCTGTGGCAAACACAGGTTCATGGTATTCCCAAGTTTTGTTAAGAAGGATCATCTTGTCGTATTAACACCACCTCTTTCTAAAGCGTCAAATATGATCCCCAGAAGTCAAAAGCTGAAGTTAGGCTATACCTGAACTACACAGTGGCATGGCTGCACATCACCACCGCTAAGCTAAAGATGGCTAATGTTTGGCGGGATGACGTTTGAGAGTCTCATTTAGTTACGTGTTACAGTAGCTACTGTTGTTTCTAAGACACATCGAAGCTTCAGACACATCGAAGCTTCAGACACATCGAAGCTTCAGACACATCGAAGCTTCAGACACATCGAAGCTTCAGACACATCGAAGCTTCAGACACATCGAAGCTTCAGACACATCGAAGCTTCATCTATGAGGGGGTCTTTACTGATTCATTGTATGTCTTTAATGAATATGTTCAAATCTATGAAGCCTTTGTTAACCACATACCTTATTTCAGTCAACAACAAAACAAAACAAGGAAACCAGATGTAATAAAATGCTAACTCAATGTTGGGTTTGAGGACTCATTCCTGCACCACTCTTTTAACAACTGTTCTAACATCATTCTCCCTCATTTATGCTTACCATGGTATTTTGCTAAAAATGATATACTGCATATTACACTTCAATTCTCTGATATGTTCTTCACTTACAATTTCTACCGGTGCTATGCTCCTCACCAGCTCCTGAAGCAGTGTGGCCTCACAATAAGGAAACTTCCTGATACAGTCCCGAATGAACTTCTCCTGGTACTGAGGGAAGCCATCGCTGTCTCTCCCCTTCAACAAGCTGGGGCCGAGCAGCATTCAGGCAGGTGAAGGACAATGAAAAAGAGAAATGGACAATTATATTTATCCCAATTTGACTCTTCATATGGTTTAATTGACCATTGTACACATCAGATGTAGGTACAACCTTGTAGATTAGTTTGAAGATTATTCAAAGAGGCCCTATTCTGCTTTTTGTGGTTTTCCCTCTTCTGTATGTCCTATAGGTTTAAGTGCATGTAAATGGTCTGCAAAGACTCACAGTTCTTTTGAGTGGCGCTCCAACACATTGTGCTTGATAGGCTAAGGGGCGGGACATTTCCAACTCATCTCTTAGCAGTTTACCGATCCCCTTGACACAGCATGGGGCCAAATGATTGAACCAAATATGGTTCATGTATAACACAGCTAGCAATTTGGTCAGTATGCATATCTTCTAATGTTAAGCAAAAAAAACACAAACATTTTATAAAGCAGCATTTTAAATGGTGCAGAAGAGAAGGATTATATATTGATCTAACCATGGGCGTCACTTCGTTAGAAAAAGTGGTGGGGATCCTTTTTTCAGATAGAAAAACCCATTACTGCATTAAACACCCCTCGCAAACAATACATACATATATACATAAATACATATGCTTACAATACTTTTTTTGACAACTAGTGCAGTAAGCTACACTGCAGCAAAGCAGGAGCAACAATTGCTTTTCTATTCTCCATTCAATTATATATAATATTAGACGTGTCGCAGGTCCAAACTACACCACTTGTGTTACCAGAAATACACCCAACAAGTGAGAACAGTCCTCCATATTCTAAATGTTCTCTTGCTTGTGCAAATAAAGCTTTCTCAAAGTGTACAATTCTTTGTGCACAACATTTTAGAACGTTGTTAACAAATGATCCTAATGCAAAGGGTTGGGGAAATAATGGGAGTGCTGCTGTGTCTATAGACTCATTCCACTCAGAAGCCTCACCTCTTGACAAGTGCGTCCAGCTTGTCATCTCGTTTCTTCAGGAAGGCCAGGCATTTCTGGAGCACACAGCTGATGTAGTGCATCTTCATCGCCAGGACCTCGTTCATGTCCTGCTGCTTCACACACTGCTCACACAGCAAGTCCATCACCTGGTGACACTTCTCCAGAGCTGCCACGTTCACCAGCACAGGGTTCTCCTTCACCAGCAGCACTATCTGGGACAGGCGGAGGGGAAAGTGTAGTAGGTCAGCAGATCACTAAAGATATGGTTCATCCTTTGGGCACCAATAATATGTGAGTTATTCAATAGGATAGAAATGTAACTGAACACCATAATTATGAATTATGTTATGTTACATTGAAGCTGAGTGCAGAGCAGCTTTAAGTATTTTGGAAAAATGTAATAAGCGTTAAAAAAATAACTCTTTATACTCAATAATAATCTATTTTCTTAATTTCTTGGCAGGTACAGCCAAGGTATGAGAGCAACCCATCTGGATACTTTCCCTCTTTGTCATGGCCTCACATCTTTTTGGGTGAAAAATATCTGGTGTCTTTTGACCGGCTCTAAATATAGATTTGAAGGTCTTTGCCAATCAAATAAAAAAATTAAGAAAACCATAAATGTTGTATCTACACGAAGCCCAAATATGATGGTCAATCAGGCAATCAATATACTATGATGAAATGAAAGCTATAGTGGATTGATGTTTTTAATTTCTATCTAACAGTGGATAACTCTTAATCTGGCATTTTCCTTTGATTGTCAGTGGTTCATTACCTTGACTTTAAACACCACTGTTAACTTTGGTGTTTGACGTTAGCCTCATTAGCATCATTAGCATCATTATGTAGTTGTGAGGAAGTGTTTCCCAAAAACCAACGTTCTGGATCATTTTTGTTGTAAAGACATTATGAAACTACATTTTAACGCTTCGCGCCAATTCTTTGATTTCACCCAAAAGTGGGCGGGGCCGTCTTTTGAGGTGCAGTGATGTAGTGCTGCTCCCATCGTTTGGATGGATAGCCATTTCATGTGGGATGGATGTTCAGCATTCCCAGAGCTTGAACCCTAATGACTTTGCACTTCACTTCCCCATTAGTGCTGCCATCATCAGTAGACCTGTGAGGAAGCCTCACCTTGACCGGGTTGAGGTTGGTGGTCATGATGATCCTGTGCAGGGGCCCCGCCAGCGTGGGGGGCAGCCTGGGCTCCGTCTCCAGCCCATGTGGCCTGGTGTAGAACTCCAGCTTTGCGAGCGAGAAGAAGTTATTGATCACTGTGACACAGTCGTGCTGGCCTGTGAGGAGAGAGCACAGGTTAACATGAACCCCCCCACAGTCACCTGACAGCCAATCTCAGCTTGTCTCACCAACAAACGCTGCCATCTGAGCCGCAGTGCGACCCACAGAGTTCACTTGGTTTGTCTCTGCGCCTGCATCCAGCATCATGGAGGTGATATCTGTCCTCCCTGAAATGTTAATGACAATCAAAAGAGCCATTTTCCCCTGCCATCAAGTAAAGTTTGTCTGGAGCTGCAATACATATTTGATTATAAATAAATAAAAACACTTTTGTGTGTGAAACATTTTGATTGTTGCATTTGTGAACAAATAAACAATTTGACAATAAAGCAAAAGGAAGTGGAAGTCTACTGCTTTTTCCCTTATAACATAGGAAGCAGCAAATGCTGTGTGCTTGTTCTGAATTATCTTTAGAATATTATTTGTGTGGTTTGCTCATTTCTAAAAACAACAACAAATGAATATTTACACGCAGAATTTACCTCTCTGTTCTACTATTGTTTTTTGATGAATCCATGGTTAGATTTCCAAGGCCAGTAAATAGATGTACGCATCTATTTACTGGAAATAACTAGAGGCTAGAGGCTATTTAACTTGTTGACTTTTGCCACTACGAAAAATGTTCTGATGTTTTGGATCAAGGAGGTTGCTCCAACAAAGAAATTGTGGCATAATCTTTTTTATTATTTTTATTTCAGTGTCACAGTATCACCTCAAGCTCTTTTATTTATTGCTATATAATACTTTGTGAAAGCCACATTGAGCCAAGGCAGAGCGGATGAAGGGCCACATGTAGCTCAAGGGCCGCGGGTTGCCTATGCTTTCCTAGTTAAATCAGATGTAATAATAGAAAAAAACCTCCAATGTAAGCTGAAAACCTGACTTCACAGTTTTACCTGACAGGCCAGCAAACATAAGAGCAGTGTATCCGTATTCGTGCTGGTTGCAGTTGACGTTGGCCCCATGCTGCAGCAGCAGACGACACATGTCCGCCTTGCCCTTATAGGCTGCATGCATCAGGGGAGTCATGCCATACTTAGGAAACCAAGCAGAGACACAACATTACATGAGGAGATGTTTTTATATATAATGGAAAAAGAAACATGTCAGGTCTCAACATAAAGCAGCATGAATTGATTTGATGGCCACAAGCTGAAAAAACAACATATGAAGCTTAGCGCAAGTTCAACCAGGAAGACCATCTTTACTCATTCATTCACATATTCCCAGCGTACTACTCTCTCTCCTCTCAATCAGTGATCAACAGCTAAACCTATCACTTCGCCTCTATTCCCTTCCTCACAGTTGTCATTTCAGCTGACTCAACGCAGCCCTCTTCCTCCCCTTCCACCTTCCTTTCTTCCAAATTTGGATTTGGCTGTGCCCGGCGGTGGTCCAACAGTTCCCCCAAGGGCCCCAACCGATAGGGGACTCTATGGCGCTATTGAGACCCCCGACGCCAAGATCAAAAGCTATATTATAGCAACCGGTCTATGTAGGCCTACCGGCCCATTCCCCAGAGACAGACATCAAGGAAACAGGTTTAATCCTCTTCTTAGTTCGCTGTGCCGTTGTCAGGCTGTGGTGGTCTGAGGCCAGGGCAGGCTGTGGTGGTCTGAGGCCAGGGCAGGCTGATGTTGATAGCCTACATGTGGCACTTCTGAGTGGTTGTGTATGTCCGTCATAGGCGGCGCCAGGGGGGCGCTAGGGGGTGCTGAAGCTCCCCCTATATAGCCATAGCATCCCCCAAGCACCCCCAAAAAATGTATGTATTTTTTTTTTTTTTTACGTTTGAAATTCATAATTTGAAAAATGATTAATTCGAAAATAATATGCCACAGTACAGAACAAGTACTTCTGGGTCTCTGTGTTTCATTCAAGCTCGGCTCTGTGTGTGTGTGTGGCAGGCGCGCATTTAGTGTGATTAAGCGAGCGAGAGAGAGAGAGCGCACCGGTGCCAGGGACCATGTTGTTAGCATCTGGTTAGCTAGCTGCACTAACGGATATAAGGAGCTGTTTCTACAACAAGCTGGAGGAGAGTCCTCTCCTGTCAGACTGAGAGACTCAGGTGAGCTAAAGGACTCTCTGAGTGTTTAGATAGTTAACTTTAGTCTAAGTTATCTCAGTGGGTCTCAAACGGTTTGGTCACAATTTATGTAAACAATTATTTCGACGCACACCTTCATATGATCATTATAGTTATAAAACAATAAGAGAATACATGAAAAACAGTTATGAAATACTACATGGCTGTAAAACAAGAATAGAGTTTAAAAAGGGGAGTGATTTGTAAAATACCCATAAAGAAAAAGTAAATCTGTTTACAGTTCTGTTTCATATGGGTGCTGAGAGAGGTATCCATAGATCTCTTCATGTTGCTCTCAAAGTGCACCAGGTTGATGCTTTTAACTTCAATATAAAAAAAAAAATCTTCCCGGGGAGCCCCCTAGACTTAGGTCCACCCCCCACTTATAAAAATAGCACTTTACCTATGCTTACAGCTATGAGCTGATTATCGAGCCTTCATTGTAACAAGTGTATACTGTGTATGTGTGTGTGGGGAGTGTTGCAGTAGAACATTCCACTGTAGCGCCCGGTACCTTAATGGAAAACCCTAAATGTTTGAGCACCCTCTGTGAAACGTCAAGCTACCCCACAGCACCCCCAAAAGAAAATCTTTGGCTCCGCCACTGATGTCCATGCGTGTGTGAGCGCATCAGTGTGCGCTTATGTTTTGGGCGATGTGGGGGGGGGCCCCCAAAACAATATTTGCACCGGGGCCAATCACAACCTTGTTACGCCACTGATTATTATATAAAGTTCATATGGCTAACATGTTCGGAAGCATTTGTTGACTTACACATTCAGCCTTCACAGAACAACATAATTCATTTGGAGTCTTTGTGTTTGTGTCCACATGATAAATATCTTTGTCTTTTAGCTTTGGTCTCCACCGTCTGAAAGATATGGCTGCTAAATTCAGTTATCAGTTAGTTAATACAAAATTATAAGAATTCTATTAACATCATTATTATTATTATTATTATTATTAATTAACTGATAACGGATACATTAACATGTAAGGAGTATTTTATTGTTAGCTAGGCAGATGGTCATGTTTGAATTTAATTTATTGAAAAATGTAATTATTGTAATTTAGTCATTATTATCTGATTCAGTATAATGCAGCTGGTGACCCCCTCTTTGCAGAATCCCCCAGTATAAAGTAATGGACGTAGCCAGATTTAAGAAAACCCTAATATTATAGAGTATTATAATAGACTTAATACACTAAGTTTAAGTGTACAATAACTATCACTCACACATGTTTTATTCCAGACACTTTAAGCATCTACTTTATTTATCTTAAGTTTGTTAAACATACCAATGATGGAAATATTTGAAATAAAAAATGGATAGTATAACAAGGTTACAAATAACTATGAATGAAATACCAGGCCTTGCAAAACCCCAACATATTCAATTGTCAATTATTTAAGATACAAATAATGTTTATTTTTATTTTACAACCACAAAATGTTGAATTTAATTATTTAATTTGACTTGTCAGACTGCAGGAGCCTGATATGCAACAGGTTCTCTAAGATAATCCTGCAGGCAGAAGTGCACATTTTAAGATTTAATAAAAAACATATGCCTTACATCTCACCCAGAAACACTTTGGTGCCTGTGTTTGTGTGTGAGGGGAGTGTGTGTGAGGGGAGTGTGTGAACACCTGCTTCTGACATGCAGTACGAAGGGTCTGTGAGCTACTTGTAGTGAAGCTTTATCAAACACCTTCAAGGGTCTGCCTCTCAATAGTCGCCTCCATATGTCCCGATCACAATGGATAACATATGTTACAGTGACATAACTGTTGCATTGTGGGTGGAGGAAGGATATATATATTAAGTATATATTGTTTTGTTTTTTTAAAGGTTGTGGAAGAGTTTCTCAACCTTGGGTTTGGGTCAATTGATTGAAAAAATGTACTTCATCAAAATACATATCACAGTTGTACAAGACAACACGTGCTAGCAGGAAGGACTTTTTAGTGTCTAAAGTCACAGGAAAGGTTATGAAAAATCTGCACTTTTGATGCTTTCGGTGGACTGGTCCTTTCAATATGGAAACATTTCTAGGTATATACTTTATTTACTTCAATATATTATTTAGTGGAGCCTGAAAGTTATTTTTGACTTTGACCGGGTTGTTTGATGTTAAGCACTTGCTATTTTCTTAGCTTTGAAAGCTTAAGAACATTTGGCAACAAAATAAATACTGTTTGTAAAATACTTCAACTAAAAACGTATAAAAAGTGCTTTCATACCTCATCCAAACAGTTGACTCGTACTTCTTCACCGGCCAGCAGCTGGGCAGCTTCCTGTACGTCACCTGCACAACAGAAGTTTCTAGTAAACATGAACCTGTGGACATTAAGTGAGAAAACTCAGAACTGCAAGGAGACCAGCGCCGTCAACACAATTCCTACACCACATATATAATGTTGTTATAAAGGATTTTGGTTATGCGTTTATTTTATGGCTTTGACATTTCTGAGTAATAACCCTTTTATGTTTCCTGGAAATATATATATATAATCCGGTACCAATACACGGAAATCAATATATTTCTATAAAAATAGGTAAATTGAATATTAATTCTTTTTTTATTTATTATTATAGATTCGATTCTTCATATGTACACTGAACTGCACTTTATAAGTCATATTGTAATACGTTAGCTGGTGGTATAATAATTAAACAAACTGTATCCAGAAAACCTTTTTTAAATATTAAAAAATGACATAAAAGTTTGGACAATTTCTTGCTACAAAATTACTTTAAGTGAGTGGGTTTGTCATGAACAACTTGGTCCTAACAAAATAAATTGCAAGTTATATAAGTTTGTGTGAAACACAGTGAATGAAACTTAAAGTGTAATAAAAGGAACCAGTACTCACCTGCAGCGATGACCTGCAGGATCTTCCTCTCTGCTGATGATAGATCTCCTTTGTGCTGGGCCGCCATCCTCTGTGATCAGCTGTGATCTCTCAGTGATCTGTGTCTCTGTCCTGCTGACAGTCACAGTCTGCATGTACACTGAGTCACTGCATGGACTCAACCGACATCCCTGGAACATACCACTGTACCAAGCAAAGGGGGAGACCACTGTGGTCTGCTGGATACAAAATGCATAGTAGTAAAGATATTGTAAGTTTCTGATGATTCAATTTAGATAATTTATAACTTAAAAGATAAAGGTTTTGCTGTCCAGGTCTGACTGTAGTTTAAATAATGTTTTATTTATATAGAACAACTAAGAAGGAACAAAATAGTTGTGGCTATATTTAATGACCCCCTGATGTGGAACACAGATTGCATCAAAATGTGTAGTTCGGTGTTCACATTAATATGTGGAAGTATTTTAACACGCCTGCTTTGAAAGCCCTAAAGCGTTTGGACCTTTAAGCTTTCACGCTAGTAATTGCCGCTAATATGTACCCCCTATAGCCCCTACGTGCCCGACTCCACCTGCAGGTGGATCACAGACTTCCTGTCTGACAGGAAGCAGCACGTGAGGCTGGGGAAACACGTCTCTGACCCCCGGACCATCAGCACTGGTTCCCCTCAAGGCTGCGTTCTTTCCCCTCTGCTCTTCTCCCTGTACACCAACAGCTGCACCTCCAGTCACCAGTCTGTCAAGCTCCTGAAGTTCAGAGACGACACCACCCTCATCGGACTCATCTCTGCACCATCTGGTGATCTGGTGCAGGGACAACCACCTGGAGCTCAACGCTCTCAAGACAGTGGAGATGGTTGTGGACTTTAGGAAGAACGCAGCCCCGCCAGCCCCCATCACGCTGTGTGACTCCCCATCACTCTGTGTGACTCCCCATCACTCTGTGTGACTCCCCATCACTCTGTGTGACTCCCCATCACTCTGTGTGACTCCCCATCACTCTGTGTGACTCCCCATCACGCTGTGTGACTCCCCATCACTCTGTGTGACTCCCCATCACTCTGTGTGACTCCCCCATCACTCTGTGTGACTCCCCCATCACTCTGTGTGACTCCCCATCACTCTGTGTGACTCCCCATCACTCTGTGTGACTCCCCATCACTCTGTGTGACTCCCCATCACTCTGTGTGACTCCCCATCACTCTGTGTGACTCCCCCATCACTCTGTGTGACTCCCCCATCACTCTGTGTGACTCCCCATCACTCTGTGTGACTCCCCAGTCACTCTGTGTGACTCCCCAGTCACTGCTGTGGAGTCTTTCCGCTTCCTGGGCACCATCATCGCCCAGGACCTCAAATGGGAGCAGAACAGCAGCTCTCTCATCAAAAAAGCCCAGCAGAGGATGTTCTTCCTGAGGCAGCTGAAGAAATTCAACCTGCCAAAGACGATGATGGTGAACTTCTACACCTCCATCATGGAGTCCATCCTCACCTCCTCCATCACCATCTGGTACGCTGCAGCCAAAGCCAAGGATAAGGGCAGGCTGCAGCGTGTCATCCGCTCTGCAGAGAGGGTGATCGGCTGCAATCTGCCATCCCTCCATGACCTGCATCCCTCCACGACCTGCACGCCTCCAGGACCCTGAGGCGGGCAGGGAAGATAGTGGCCGACCCCTCCCACCCTGGACACAAACTGTTCACCCCCCTCCCCTCTGGCAGGAGGCTGCGCTCCATCGGGACCAGAACCTCTCGGCACCTGAACAGTTTCTTCCCCTCCGCTACCGGCCTCTTAAACAAGGCCCGGCCCCCCACTGACACTTTACCTCTGCCACAACGTAGACTCTATACGCATTACATTAATGTACACAATGTTTAAATATTGCTTACTGCACATATTGTATATTTCATATTTTATATTCTATAATTCACTGCATTCTATTTGGTTGTAAATTACTGCTTTATTTTATTGCTATCTTACTATACTTTTATTACAGTGCAGGGCCGTTTCTAGCTTTTTGGGGGCCCTATGCAAGATGCTGTTTGGGGGCCCTAGTTTTGACAGTTTTTTAACTACAATGGGGGGGATTCCGAAGCCTTTAAGATGATCTGTGGAGATGCATCAATATGTTACACTTTAATAGGAAAACAGGCTAATTTCACGAAAACCAAGCAATTGAAAATTACAAAAAATGATATTAAAAAGGTAAACAACAAGGCTCCTCTATGTCAATAAATGCAAGAGATGCAGCATTTTCTCAACAATGTTTAATTTACATTTTTCATCTTCCTCAGACGTCACTCATTGGCTGTCAGCCAATGAGTGATCGTTGGGCTGTCACTTTATTACCCCAAAAACACAAGCCACAGCTTTGCTATCATTGCAGTTTAGTTTGTATGCATATAATGCTTCACCGAACACAGGAGGGGGCTTGGCTGTCTACAAATAAAGACGGCTCATTTTAATTCTCCCCAAATATATTGAGGCTGAACCTGAACTTTGAATTCTCTGCTCCCATCATAATCTTGGCGATCTTGTTAAAATTGTGAATGCAGAATTAGAAATACTATGTAACTGGTTTGCAGTTAATAAATTATCCCTTAATGTGGCCAAAACAAATGACATGTTATTCAATACAAAGTCTGAGAGTAGAAATGACTGCATTATACGGATTTGCAATACAGAGATAGAAAAAGTTGGTGCATGTACATTTGTAGGACTGCTTGTTGACGAAAAACTCAATTGGAAGCACCATATAAATTATGTACAGACTAAACTGTCAAAAACAATATGTATTTTGTATCATACTAAGAACATTCTTGAAGAAAAGATACTCTTTATAACAGTCTATTTCTCCCTTACCTTTACTACTACTCCGAAATATGGGAGTACTCAACAAATCTACAAAAAATAATAACATCCCAAAAAAAAGTATTACGAATAGTCTGTGGTGTTGGTAAATATGAACACACAACTTCCATATTTAAAAAAACTCAATCTATTAAAATGTGTTGACATAGTGCAGCTTAAAACAGTACTGATTATGCACAACATTTTCCATAACAAAATGCCTAATAACATTCAAAAGCAGTTCCAAACCACAGCGTGAACATATGAATGTAAAAAAAGTCACTTGAAAATAAGTGTTCACAATGTTTATATGCAATTATGCATATATTATTATTATTATTCATTTGCCAAGTACATGTGTACATATGTATATATTTATATATAGTATTTTCATTTCCAAAAAAAGATAGTGAAAGAAACTGCTATTGACATGTGCAGAAAATGACCCTATATCTAGTTTTCGTATATATATATATATATATATATATATGCATTTATTGTTTTCCTGCCTGTTTTCTTTATTTCTTTGTACTCCTTCATTTCTATACGTTTTTGACGCAATAATGCCGCTGTATTAGGATGATGCACGGGAGGGCTACTTTCCACAAGCTATGCTTCAGCCCTCCCGCTTCTACTCATTTTGTTCATCTTTGTGTGTGTGAATTATACTTTTTTTGTTTTTTGGATGAATAAAAAAAAAATTACCCCGCATAGTCCGCCTATAGAAACGGCCCTGTTACAGTGTTCTTCATATAGTTCGCTATCTGTGTACTTTTTAAACATTTTGTTTTATATTTGATGTATGCACCATGACATCAAGTCAAATTCCGCGTACGTGTGAACCTACCTTCATCCTCTGTCTGAAACCAGAGCCCAGTCTGCTCTGATTGGTTCGCGGATTTTAGAGATGTCCCAAACCTTATCACTAATGGCTCGTTTCCACTACACGGCCTCGCTCGGCCTCGCTCGGCCGCGCTCGGCCGCGCTTGGCCTCGTTAGGACCAGCTCACTTTATTGCGCGTTTCCATTACAGTTTAGGAACTGGGGTAGTATCTATAATAACGCAGTGTAGGCAGAGCGACGCTGCTTAAAACTGCCGTGACGTCATCTTCAATGCGACACAACACACAACAATGGAGGATGTGGAGATGTGGAAGCGATCGTTTGCTTGTTTCTTGCTGTGTGGTTTATTATCACAAGAAATAGGCAAGAGTTGTTTCGAAAGAGGCGACTTATAGCAAGACGAGGTATAGAAGAAGCTGACGCGAGAGTTCGGGCAGTCCTACGCCGCAGAGACTACAGGACGACTCGAATCACTACTACTAACTACAATGCTACTTGGTAAGCTAACATTAGCTAACTAGCAATGTGTTTAGGCTCACGCTCCCTATACGACCAAAGTATTTCAAGTATTTAATTAATTGTAGCTACCACTTTTACGTATTAAAATATGTATGCTTTTGTTTGTGTATTTCAGAAGTTGCGTGTATTTCAGAAGTTACGTCGCCGCCTTAGACCATGTGTTTGGATGCTCGACCGAGCTACCGAGTGGTGGAATGTGATTGTTCCATCTTTCACACACACTCAGTGGGTGAAGAACTTCAGGATGCCTGAGGAAACCTACGTCTACCAGGGGTAGCAGTGGCACAAGGTGCAGAGGAGGGCAGGGACATACGAGAGGGTCTGATGCGCTACCTGAATACCTAGAATATATAATGTAATACCTAAATATTCATTGTATTGTATTGAACATAAATAAATCTTTTTTTTTTCACATAAATGTGTTTGTCAAATTATTTAAACCAACATTTTTTTATCAGAATTGACTATTTAGTAAATATTTGAATTTCAAGCACCAGTACTTACTGCCCCATAATAATAATAATCTAATAAATTAAGCAAATATCAAAGCAAACTATAAACATAAATACAAAAGTGTAAAACACAGCAGAACTATATTCATAAATGCAAGTGTAAACAATTGTTAACATGGATGGAGGCTAAAGTATCCACAGCATAAAATAATATGATTATGATGGTTTGTCTGAAAGACACAGCCTTAAGGTTCAAGGTTTTTTATTTTGTCATACGAACATAGCTACAGTGTAGTTATGACAATGAAAATCTTAGGTCACAACAGTGACAACACAATAACCCAGATCAACAGAAATATAGTGCAAGTAAATATTAAGCGCTGTGCACCGCTCTCTTTGTATAGGTGTTTTCTTTTGTTCTCTTCTCTTTGAAATATATAAGCAATGTGTTTGAGTCTAGCACA